ATTGAAGGAGTAGTCCTAAGTAGTCCCGGACAGGATGTTGGTGATCTTGGATGACTTGGCTGGCCTTATGGCATTGGCTCTTGTCCTTGTATCTTGCTACTAAACTTATTAACATGCAGCCAGAATACATTAAATCTTTGCTGTATTCCTTTTCCATGGAAGCAATTACTATAGTTCAATCACTAATAGCAGAGGAAGTGACCCTAGTGATGATAAGCAAGAAGGAAGAGTATACATGAGGGAGTGCCTTTAAAACTTCCCATTTTGGAGGAAGTTTGAAGGTCCCTGATGCAACTTCAGCATCAAATAAACAGTCCATTTGCTAACTAGAGGATTCGTGGCAGGGTGCTCAAGGATACAAACCAACACTAGTATTGTTTAATTTACTCATTGGTTTGGAAAAAGGATGCAACCTTTTTTTTTTTTTTTTTGAGGACTTAAGCTAGATAACTGGGCAAAAAGATAGCGGGTGAAATCCAGTGCTGATGAATGTCACGTTAGGCATTTTGCAAGAAAGGCTGACCCACCCAGACGCATCAATGGGATCTAAGTCAACTGTAAGCATTTGTGCAAAAGACCTGCATATCACTGCAGGTAATGCAATGAAAACCTCTATTTAATGCCTAGCAAACAAACTAGATGCTGGATAGTACCAAGGAAGGGACAGACTGCAAAACTACAAACGTGGTACTGCTATTATTGCAATCCAAGGTTTGCCCTCACGTGGAAGGCTGTGTTCAGTTTTTTTATGTCATAGTCTCTACAACGTTGTACAGTAATGATAAAAAGGGATAGAAAAAGGAATCCGTGAGAGGCATGAGAAATGAGGATGTTGAGGAGTGGTTGGCTTGGAATAGGCAATCAATTATAGAGTAGAGGTATAAAAATAATGAAGAGTATATGGGGGTTCATGCTGGCATTTGGACTGAACCTTTGGGGCACCTGACCAAATTAAAAGTGCTATAATATTTAAAACCAAGGAAAGCAAGTAGTGGAAATGTTATATACCAACTCTTGAAATTCATGGCTGGCAAGAACTGGGCACGCTACTATTTTTCTTACCCTCTCTCTCCTGGTCCCGTATTTTGGCTGGGATGTTGGTCTTGCACGCCTTGTCCCACTGTAAATCCTGGAGGAATAACCCTCATGTATGGGGTGTTTATATGGTGCTAGGCCCAATGGGACCTGTGCTAGTTGGCCTGGAAGCACTACCACGATACAACAGTTAATAAAATTACTGATGATTAGGAAGAGCATAGTAGGATTTTAAGAGGATTAGGTATTTATGGCCTTGCTCAGGCATAGCTCTGAAGCATATGCTTAACTCTAAGCCCATGAATAGATCCACTGAAGTAAATGAGACACCACTTTTATCCTACAGTTGTGCTGTAGTGATTTTCCCCTATCAGAGCCTATTTCAAGGAACAAAAATATCTGCAGTTATATTGTGATGACATCCATAAGGCCTATAAAGCCTTCTGTTACAGAGCCAACCATTAAATATCTGGGGTTAGAGCGATATTACTTCCACTGACCTGTAAACTCCCGATCTGAAGTCACCAGGAACAGTGCTTTTGGACATGTCCACGCTGCAATCCAAAGGTATGATTGCAAAGTAGACAAATGTACCCGAGCTAGCTTTAAATAGGTGAGCTCTAGTAACCCAACTAGCATAGCCATGATAACCAGGAGCTCGGCTCAAGCTAGTCACTTGAGTATTTAACTAGAGGCTCAGGCTGGTTTGCAGCCTCCGCTGAACCCCGTGCTACCAGCAGCGTTGCTATTATTGATGCCCAAGCTATCTATTTCCAAGCCAGCTCAGGTGTACCTGCACAAGCTGCCTCTGCCTTGCAGAATAAATATCCCCTTGATTTCACTGGACTTCAATTCAAGCCCATAGTGCACAATCGGCTGTAAAGAGGTCATCATCTGCACCTTGGGTTGTTAAACCTTTTACAACATGTTCAGAGTAGCTCAACACAATAGCATTGCCCAGTTTCTGCGAGGGATGAGCACACTTTTTTATCGTCAGGTCACCATCTCAGCGTAGTGCTGAGAAACAGTAATTAATGCAGTCTAGGGGGAGATGAGGAGAGAAAGTAAATGGCTGTTTACCAGTGAGTCATGCTCAATATGGAGAGGCTGTTCCTGCTGTAGGGACTTGGAAAGGGTATGCGTATGTTCAAGCAGAGCTGACAGCAAAGGTGGCTTAAAGTGGCTCTTAGGTGGAGTCTGATGTTTCTTCTGTCCATTCACCTAGTCCGTCTAAACCAGCGATTCTCAACTAGGTGCCAGATGTGGTACCCTACGGTGCCTTGACATCCTTTCCAAGGATGCCACTTGGTGCCACATAGTGTTAGGTGAGCAAACATGATTCGCGAGATAAACTCCGTGATTTCCAAGAGCATAATCCATAAGCATTAAAAACATCCTGACCTGTTGTGGCCTTTCTGAGTTCTTTGCAACAACAACAAAAAAAGCTCTATTATTTGTTCTCTAGTCAAAAAACGAATTAAAACTAAGAGCAGGCATCTAGGAAGGGGCGCCTCAAATCTAATGAGGGGTACCTTGAGCCTAATGAGGGGACCTCCACTTAAAAAGATTGAGAATGACTTGTCTAAACTGTTCGTCTGGGCCTCTTTCTCTTGCAGTCTCTCTGGTGGCGGGGGTTCTATTCTGACTCTGTCGGGTGCAAATACCCACTGCCCTCGGGCACAGCTTAGATGCTTAAGAAAGCATCAAATCAACCCAGCTAACTGGAAGAATTTGCAGCTTTTAACACAGACGTGCATGTCCCGAGAACAGACCCTCCTCCATAATTAGCTCCTCTTTCTGCTCTCTGGTTCATACCAAAGCTGGAAAACACCAAGGTCTTTGCCTTCCGGCCTTTCGAAGGGCATTGTCGATAATTGTTGTCTACACGTGAGTCTTGGGGCGTCGCAACGAGTCGTGGCAAGACTGGGATTTCTAGCCTGACGGGGTTCACGGGGAGGGAGGTGGCCGCCACAAGCTCTGGGCCATGCCCTGCGTCTTGCTGTCCCCTGAAAGGCTTTCTGAAGTGCGCGTGGACCATTCACGGCAGCAGTCAGCCTCTTGAAGGGAGAAAATGGTCCTCCCTTCCCCCCCCGCCCCGATTATTTTTCAGTCTGACACAACTCTCCAATGCTTTTTCTTCCTAACCATATTTTTTTCATAAGTAAAACTTTAATAGGTGCTGGAGTAAAAAGGGTTTACCTTTTTTAGGTGCACCACCTAAGAAAGTGTCTCTTACTAGCTTGGCTTTGCGTTGCTTGGCTCATACAGCCTCTGGTAAGATATAATGCCCCAGACATGAAGTAGGAAGGGCTGGTGGGCATGCTGAGCAAGTCTGAGCTCTCTCTTCTCTTTATCCGCATGGAGATGGTGGTGGGTACCTTGGACCAGAACAGGACAGGAACACTGATGGGTCTGCATTGAAGGGCACCATAGAGGAGGTACCCAACTCATCTTGCTTCCTGGTAGACGCCTCACTAGACCTAGAAGGAAGGTACTGAAATCCAGTTAAACTCCTGGTTGCTGGCTTTAAGCAAAACTGGAAACAGTGCTTTTATTCCAGAATAAGAGGGCCCGCACCCAGATATGCACCGAGCTAGCAAAGGATTTGAAATGAAAACTGATAGACGCCCTGTGTTCAATGTGAGGAGGACACATGGGTTGTGTTAGAGACGCTCTCTCAAGAGTTTTTTGTGTCGGTCTTGTAGGTTTTAGGCCACTCGGAAGCAAAAGCTCTCTGTATTGCTATGAGATTTGTTGGCCAGGACCTTACATTCTAGCGTCTCTTTACCAGAGTCCGCAGGCCAAGAGGTGTATTTCAACACTTACTGAATAACCTGAGCACAATGCATTGTGCATGCGGGTTGTTCTTGAAGTTGTAATTGCTTCAAACGCTTGTCTAGGGTGGTTTAATTGCTTCAATGCTTGTCTAGGGTGGTTTGGATCGGGATGATCCTGCTTGGAGCAGGAGGTTGGACTTCCTGAGGTCCCTTCCAGCCCTACTTTTCTACGAGGCGATGACTCTGCATCCATCCCTGCAGAATGCAGAAACTGCTTTGTGTTGGCAATCTCCTTCTCAGTTCCTTCCCAAGGGCTGTCCCATCGTCCGTGCACATCTGAAGCAGCGTTTCTTCGTGTTGTTGAGTCTTCTGTTCTCCCTTTTTGTCCTGCTTTTATAGAACTTAAAAATGATTATTTCCAATTCACGCTCTCATTTTTCTTTTCACAAACATCGGTTCCTCCTTCTACCGCTCCCAGTCCAGTCGTATACAACAGGGCATAGACTGAACTGGTTTTTTGGCTGCAACTCAGACTCAGGTAGGGCCTGGTTTGTTGGCAGCGCCGGGACCTCAGAACTGCGGGGAGGTCAGTGGAGCACCCACGCAAACCGGCCTTTGTTATCATATGAAGTACAAGACATGCTGCGCCTGATCCTCATTTAGGACAAATCCACGCACCTTCATTTCCACTTGAATTCACTGGAGCAACCTCATTTTATACTGGTTGAAAATCTGGCCCTATTACCTTTTGGGTTTGTCCTAGCATCATCCATTAAGATCCCGCACACAACCAGTATCACCAGTGCCTGAAAGCAGCCAAACCTCACCAAGTATTGCTGGGCAGACCTCCTGAAGGCATCCCAAGTGTCACCGGCCTTGCTACCAAGTGCTACACAGCCACCCCGTATGGGAACCTGAATACAGACGTTTTACGGGTAGAAGCTTCTGACAGATCCGACAACAGAATCGGCATGTCAGCAACCCTGAATGCAGTTGTCTCCTTGCTCTTTAATTGCTCCAGCAGAGAGCATAAAATACTGTGTTGTTGTAGGGCTTGCAGACGGATGGCTTCTATCTGTTTACTTGGCTCAGCCACACTATAGATTGAATGATAATGCCTTTATGCCAGATCAGAAGTTGGCTCTTGAAGGCATTTACCACCTACATGTTTTGTCTTCCCGCTCTTAGGACCATGTCTGCTGTGTGGCTCCAGGTCGGACAATGTGGCAATCAAATCGGCCAGGAGTGGTGGCAGCTCCTAACACAGAAAAGTGCGCTGCAGGGAGAGGCAGACAGGTACGGTCCCCACAGCCCCTCAGCTGGCGCTGGCTAGGATGTGAAGCAGGAGAGGTGAAGTGATCCTTTCCCAGCGGAAAGACATAGGTCTCCAGCAGTCTCTGTGCAGCTGGCTCTCGTATCACAAGACTGCGTGCGCTCCCAGCTTTGGCTTCACATCTGGGGAACAATGAGATCTTTGTTCCCCGTTTGCTTTCCATAGCCCTTTTACACACAAGCTTGCAACAAGTTGGGATTAAGGCGACTGATCCAAACCTTTCCATCAAATGAAGGGAAGAGGCAGTAGCGTATCGGGGGGCAGGGGGGAGCAGGGTACCAGCCTCGGGCAATGACTTGGAGGGGGGTGCTAAAATGCCCCCCAGGCATCTTTGCTATGGCAGGCTCAGCCCCGCTCCACCCAGCCATAGGAGCAGGGCTGCTGCAGCCTGCACAAGAGAAGCTTGTCCCTCGGCTGCTAGAGCAGTGGCAGCTGCTGCCAGGGTGCAGAGATGACCAGGAGAGGCGAGACTGTCCCCCAATCTGCTTTCCAGGGAATAGCATCATCCCACCCCCACCACCTCTGCCCAGGGTGCTGCAGCCCCTCTGGGCGGAGCCCCCCCTGCAAGTATGGGTTTTTGCACTGAGCCGAGGGAATCACAGACTCAGAGGGCTGAAGGGACCTCAAGGGTCCTGTTGTCTAACCCCTGTAGAGATCCAGGGTGTTTCTAGACAAAGTGCACGTGAAACAGGAATGCTGGGTTTCGATTTCTGGCCTAACACTGAAAAACAAAGTCATGATTTCTGTGGTTGGATGGAAATCCCCCTTGGAGCCCTTCTGAAGGGCAGCAGGTTGGAGAGAAGAGAGGGACAGGAAGGTGGTAGCAGGTCCTCTTAGCAGGTCCCCCACCAAGGCAATGCATGAACTCAAGCCCCTGGTTTCAGTGTTGCTGCCAGCCCCTTTGCGCTGGCTTTCCCGCGTCACTCTTGGGAACAGCTGCAGAGAAGAGAGCTTTCCCATACATACGTCTTGTGTCCTTTCCAGACACCCGTTTTGTTCCCTGGATGGAAAGCTCAGCGCTATCTGTGTGGACAGTGAGCCCAAAGTGGTGAGGAAACTGCAGAAACACGTCAAGCGAGGGTAAGAGCTGTGCCTAGTATCAGTGGCTCTGAGACCCCTTTGAACCTGCTGTGCCTGGGGTGGGAGATAACACTCCTTTCATCTCCTCCCTGCCCCATGACCTGGTCCTTAGGCCCGAGACTGGGACCCAAGGACAGCATGGCCTCCTGTTTTCTCTCCCCTGATTTTAGGGGAGATCATGTGGGGTCCTAAGCCAGTGAGTTAGGAAAGCATTGTCCCAGGCCACGTGGGAAGTCATAATCCCTGCTGCCACCTACTAGTTCCTAACTCCTCTCACAGTTTTTTCAGGGAGTCCAACCTGATCGTGGGAAAGCAGGGAAGAGGGAAGAACTGGGCATATGGTAAGAGTCCTCTCCTCCTAAATTCCCCCCCCCAGTGTACATTTGTGGGTGAGAAACACGCTTGCAGAGGTCTGCAAAGCCTACGGTGATGCCTCCTGATGCAGCTGAGGTGTCCCGTGGGGGTGCGCGTGCCCCGTTGCACTCAGCTGGGAGCAACAGCAAACCAGCCCGGGGTCTCTCGCAAGGATGGCTGTTTTGCAGCCAGTTTTGCTGGCAGATTGTCTTTCAGCTCAGCGACTCGAGGCCACCTGATAGCAGCTCACATGCCCTAACCTGCTTGCTCCTTGACTTTATTTCCCAGCTTGTGGCATTATCTGGCTTTAATAGCAGGAAAGGCCCTTTCCAGCCTTTGGAGAGCCCTGCCCTTCCTTCAAGGAGAGAGGCACGCCAACCCATCAGCAGTTCCTTCCCCTTGGCTCTCAGGGGTTTTATCCCAGACCTTGTCCTTGGGCTTTTAGCTACTACCCCACATTTCTGCACCTGTGGGATACCTCCAGCCAAACCGACTCCTTCTCCTGCAGGCTGTCTGGCAAGGCCAATGCACCCAGTCACCCCTGTGTTTTGGGGGCCAGAGGGCTCCGTTCATCCCCTGCACGGGTGCAGTACAGCAGGTGATGGTTTTGACATGCACACAGCAAAAGGATCAAGGAAGCTGGACGTAAACCCGTCTGGCTTCCCCGAGCATGCCTGGGTGCATGACTTAGGGGCTGGGAGGCCATCCTGGCTTTAGGAACCCATGAGCAGTTCCTGATGCGTGTGTGAGCAGCCCTTGCTGGGGTGTAACGTCTCTCTGTCCATTGCTCACCTGTGCTATGAGACACTGAGATTAGTTTGGACTTGGCATCGCCTCTCAGGAGTCAGGCACAGGTGACCCACCCTGGATGAGAAGCGCTAAAGGCTCAAGCCGTCGGCATCCTGCAGCCCTCCCTGCTTTGCCCCAGCCCCACAACCACGAGACAATCTAACCTCGGGCTCTGCCTGGCTTCAGGGTACCATGATGGGTGCTCGGACAGCGAGAGGAGCCTGCTCCAGAGGACGATGGAGAGTCTACGTAAGGAGGCCGAGCGCAGGGACTGCTACTGCGGGACTGTGCTTTTCCACAGCCTTGGTGGTGGCACGGGAGCTGGTAGGTCGGGGTTTTGCTGTGGCTGCTGGCTTTACCTAGAAAGCATCTGGATACCATGGTGATGGGCAGCAGTATAAAACCTGAAGTGGATGGATGGATGGATGGATGAGAAAACAAGAGAAATTCTCTCACTGGGTCCTCCAAGATTATAGCTCTTCCCATGTTTAGCACCCAACATCTTCTCAACCAGCAGCTAGGTTGCCGCCGGTCCAATCAAGCAGGGAGGGTGGAGGATGTGAAGGCCATTCTAGCTGTGGTCCATAGTGGCCGTCACATTTGTCAAGGTTGCTTGTTGCTGTCGTGCTTTGCCAGCGGCGCATTAGGGAAGGCGAGTTCACTCCGCCGGTGACTCCGGTGGATGCAGCAGGTCCGTCCGCACCGCGGTGGCAGCAAGCTCCATCTTGCTGCAAGGGAGGAAGCCTCGCTCAGCTGCTCCCGCCCCATGTGTGCCAACTCCGGGAACGAGATGGTGAGACTGTCCTGGGGCACCAAGCCATTTCTGAACCCCCTAGAAAGCCAGGTCCTGAGTGCTAGATTGTGTACACGGAGACGTGCTATTTAAACACAACAGGATGAAGCCAGCACACGTGTAGGCAGGCAGAAGTAAGGTTGTATATGGAGCGCTTTCGTTGCCTGAATCAGGGGAGCCCCTCTGTAGCATACGGCAGATTGGGACAGGGGTACGCAGCACAATGGCAGATAGGGCAGGGAGATGAAGGCAGAGCAGCAGATCAGGCAGGGAGCGCAGGCCAAGGAGCAGAAAGCAGAGCAGCAAATCAGGCAGGGGAAGGGGATCAGAGTGACACTCAGGGAGGACACAGGGCTTAATTTTTGACACGCCTACCAAAACGGTTGCCCTCAACCAGGCAACCTCCACATTTGTACTATCACTAACACCTAGAACTTCCAGGGTTTTGTTTTAAACATGTCTGGGATGCGGGGCTGCTGGGTCAGACCCCTGCACAGTGCTCCGCTTCTAGGCGAGGTCCCCCGTGAAACGTCTGGCCTCTGCAGCATTTGCAAAATGTGCAGATTTGCAAGGAGAAGGAGCTTCTAAAAAATCAGGTCCTGCCCCAAGACCTGCCGCTGCATTTTCTCTGCCCAGCTCGGTTCAGCCCAGCTCTGAGCTCACCGTGGCCGGCCTGAGCTCGAGGGCATTTCAAGAATCCTTTTTCCTGCTGCTGATGATGGTAACTTTCCCCCATAGGCCTCAGTTCCCGGCTGTGCGAGGCCATCAGAGATGAGTACTCCCTGGGGCAGATCCTGGCAGTGACCGTAGCCCCTCACCAGGCTGGCGAGAGCCCTCTCCAGCACTACAACACCTTGCTGTGCCTCGCGTGGCTCCAGAGGTAACGGGAAGGAGCTGGGAGGGGAAGAGGAGTCAACAGAAAATGATGGTCAGCCAAGGTTACTTGTCCTTGTCTAATACTGGGTCTCACTGCCTGGACCACCCCCACCGTGAGGCACTGACCCTGCCCTGAAGAGCTCACACCCTGGGGAAACTGAGGCTGCAAGCATGGAGTGAGGGGGAGAGCTGAGACTTGTACTCTGCATTTAATACAGCTAAAATTTACCACCAGCAGAGAGCTGCACCCAGGGAGTTTTACCCCTGATTTTTGCAAGGGTAATTCCACACCAGATTCAAAGAGGTTATACCAGGATCGGTCTACACGGCACATGTCTGCTTCTTGTTAACAGTGGTGTCACGAACTTATAGGAAAGTCTGACTTGCAGGGTCTTTACAAGGTCACATCTAGTCCAGCCCCTTCTCAAGGCAGGGTTATCCCTGACTAAGCCATCCCGGACACGTGTTTGTCCAACCTGCTCTTCCAAGGTATCTGCTGTAGTCCTGGACCACCCTCAGGGTGAGAAAGTTGTTCCCAACTCAAACCTAGATTTCTTCCACTCCTCCTCCTCCTCCTCCTTCTCATCAGCTCTTGACAAAACAGGACCTTGATCCAATGGCAAGGAGACCAAGACAACTGGGGATCTTGTTCTTGTGCAGCCTGCATCCGCCTTCGCAACCGCTCAGATTCCAATATCTTCTTCCACCAATTATTCTTCAAGTATCTGAAGACTAGGTTTGGCAAGCTGATCAATTGACTGATCAAGTATTCTCAATTGATCGGTCAACTGACTGCGTTTTTTGACTAGTCAAAGATTATAGCAATTTTATGGGGAGTGAATATTTTTTTGCAGGTTTGTTGACAGAAATATGATTTATTTTATCATTTTTTGGCACACTTAAAGGAAAATTGACTTGTTCTGTGTATGGCTTGACTGCATTGGCCAGTTTTTTACAATTTTTGACCAATTTTTGACTGGTCAATTGATTGAACTTTATTTACATACCCAACCCTACTGAAGACTGTTATCAAATCCTCCCTCAGTTTTTTCTCCAGAATAAATAATCCACTTCTTCTAACCTTTCCAACTGAGTCAGGTTTCCCCAGCCTCTAATCAATCTTCCTGGTATTCACTGTAGTCTTTAAAATTTGTCCATGCCTTTCCTGAAGTGCGATAACCAAACCCTAGACACCGTACTCTAGGCGAGGTCTCACCAGTGCTGAACAGAATTGCTTCCCTTAATTTAAAAGCAGTGCTTCAACTAATACAGCCTAGCACGTTGTAGGCTTTTTTTGCAACGAGGGGACAGTGTTGGCTCTCATTCACCATAACCCCCAGGTCCTTCTCTACAGTCCCACAGCCCAACCAGTCACTCCCCAAGCTGCATCTGTGGACTCTGTTTGCGGACTCCAGATGTGGCCTCCCCAGTGCTGAATAGAGGAGAAGAATCACTTCCCCCGATCTGCTGGTGATGCTCCTACCAAAGCATTTCTCCATTTATTCTGGTCATTTTGAATCCTAGCCCCACCCTCCGGAGTGCCTGCAACTCTACCCAGCTGGGTGCCATCTGCCGCCGTGCGAGCTGTGCACTCAGTCCCATCGTCCACATCACTACTGAAGATATTACTCAACACTGAACCCAGGGCAGACCCCTGGGCACCCTGCTCCATCCCTCCTCCCAATTAGACACTGAGATGAGGCTGGCAACACCGGGTTAAACGTGCTGTGTGTCCGCTTCTCAGTTCCTGCTCTAGACAGACCCTTAACCTGTTTCCTTTAATCCTTTGTCACTGAGACTTGGAGCTCTCCTTACGTGTGTGTGTACAGCACCCAGTGCCCTGGGGGCCCAGATCCTGGCAGGTCTTCTAGGGGCTGCTGCAATGCATCTAACAGCGATGCTAACAATTGATGGGCCTGTAATTGTGCAGCCATCTGACATCAGAACAGCTCGTTCCTGCAGCGTCTGCTCTGTCTGTACCCAGGCAAGACATAACACTGTCTTTGGGGGACTCCTGGATTCGCCCCCGAGCAACTGGAGAACAGCGAGTCTGCTCTGTATTTGCACAGGCACGCGGACGGCATCCTCCTGCTCCAGAACGACGAGGTGCTGGCGAGGGCGGGAGCCCCCCACGCAGCTGCCGCCCAGCCCCGGGTCTCTCTCTCCTCCATGAACGCCTACATCACCTCCTGCCTCGCCGGGCTCCTCTACCCAGTCGAGGCTTTCATGGGCAGGTGAATCCAGGGTGGGGCTTTGTCTTGATTTGAAACCACATATGCCCTGCAGACAGCTTGGGGCTTGGTAGAGGAAACCTGCCACGCTTCAGTTGGGAGTCGGCCCATGAGCTGGAGCCCAGAGGAAGCTGTAGGTGGTTATTTGGTGGTATCTGACTGCGCCTCTTGCTTTTCGGCAGGGTCAGCATTGGGATGGAGCCATGGGAGCTGTTGAGGGCCGTCTGCCCCGTGCCGGCCATGAAATTCCTCTACATCTCTCAAGCCAGCCAGAGGTACGGAGGAAACGTCTCCCACGGCAGGAGGGAGACTCTGATGAGAGTCCTCTGTCCCGCTCTTAGCTGTCCAGGCCGGTGATTCTCCACCTGGGCGTCGCGAGATACTTTCGTGGGTGCTCTGGGATGGGGCACAATATTTGCACTGTTCGTAACCTCCTACGTGTGACTCACAAGATACACCCAGGGACTTCCAACAGGAATCCAGCACGTCAAAACCTTCTGCCCCGCTGTGGCCTTGCTGAGCATTTTGCCATGGGGAAAAAAATGGCTCTGTTCATAAAATTGTAAAAATGAGGGTTGGAACGGAGCTCAGGAATTCACATCTAGTCCAGCCCCCTGCTCCAAGCAGGACCAGCCCCAACTGCATCACCCCAGCCAAGGCTTTGTCTATCCATGTCTTAAACACCTCCAAGAGTAGAGAGTCCACCACCTCTCTAGGTAACCTGTTCCAGGGCTTCACCACCCTCCTTGGGAGAAAGTTCTTCCTAATATCCAACCTCAACTTCCCTTGCTGCAGCTTGAGCCCATTGCTCCTTGTCCTGTCATCTGCCCCCACTGAGACCAGCCCAGCTCCGTCCTCTGTGCAACCCCCTGCAAGAGGCGCAGCTCTGGAGGCCACTGCCCCAAGCCTTGGTACTAGCGGGCCTCTTGCAGGAAGTGTTTTCCTACCAAGCCAGGCCCCTGAAAGCATGTGGCTTCCTGACAGGCTCAGCATCCAGGCATAAAAGCACCGTGTTTGCAGACCCCAGGGCTCGCCACCCAGGTGATCCCGGGGGTCTCCAAAGGCCCGTCCGTCTCGTGCATTTCAAGCCGGTCTGGAGATTGTGGAGGTCGGATGCATGACTCGCCTGGGGTGGGCCGGATCGCAGACATGCCACTGCTTGGTTCACATGGCCCCGTTCCACCGAGGGGTCTGATCAGCGAGGGGTGAACGTCCCTGCTTGGTCGGGAGCCGTTTGGTTTCTCTTGAGCTCCAGCTGCCTTGACCCCTCCTTTTTGAGGAAGTCAAAGCCACAAGCAAGTCAGTTGTTACAGCAGCAAATCCCAGAAGACAAGGGAGGAAACCCTGAGATTTCCCCGGGTGCATAACTCCCTTCTTGCTTTTTCATACCCCCAGGGGCTGTTCAGTGACTTTTACTTGCACTAGCGTGTGTCAGGGGCAGGTGATGGCTCTCGGCACCATCCCACAGCCTGTGAGAGAGGAGACTTAGCCCAGGGCAGCGTGCAAACCACCTGGGTGAAGTAGTGCCACAGCAAGCAGCTTCCTGGGTTTTCAAAGCCATCAGGAGGAAGCTTCTTGCATCCTTTCCTGGGAGGTGCTGGCAGTGGCTTTGCTGAGCTCTGCCCCCCAGGCAGGGGTGGAAGCAGCCGCTCCGTTCCCCTGCAGCTGTTGCTGAGTTGGGTCTGTTTTCCCTTTCCCAGGGGCACGGCGTTTTGGGACAGCCTGGCTTCTTCGGCTGTGCACTACTTACCTCGCGAGTCTCACACCGGGCAACCCGTATCCTTTTGCCCCAGAAGCCATCCACCCTAAACCTTCCCGAGTCGGGCAATGTGGAGCAGGCCATCTACAGGCAGGCACGGGCCAAGAGAAAGCCCTGTCGCAGAGCCTGGCTGAGGCAGGGAGAGAGAAAGCAAAACCTTGCGTGAGTTTTGCACGCAGATGTCGAATGCACCAGGATGTGGAGCAGACATGCGCCGTTAGTCTGGGATACCTGTGTGCAGTAGGTGGATGTGACTGGGCTGTATCACTGTGTGGCAAAGGAGCAGGGAACAGCCTGTTCGCCCGTAGCCCAGGGCTGTCCCAGGACAAGCTGACAGGTGCACCTGTGTAGCTGACACGGGCGTAGCTCTACCCTGGATTTCTCCACCCCCGGTGCAGGTTGCACAGCCGCACATCACATGCCCCCTCCTTCACACTGATGTGTCCAGACCCTGGGTCCATCAGAGGCAGTCCTTCCCCCAGCACCAACCTACTTCCCACAGTCGGCAACTGACCCCCACAGGGTTTGCTTAAGCAGATTGGAGAGAACCACCCTGGCTGTACTTTGGAGGCCAATAGTATTATCCCCATTATGCAGAGGGGAAAGCAAGGGCAGGCAGTTCCCCTAGCAGGAAGAGAAGCAGTAAGACACACCCGAGCTGTGCTGGGTGCCACGGGTTTCATGAGGCTCCCTGAGTTGCGATTCCCACACAACTAAATGTGTGACCCCCTTGTCTGGGCCCAAGCAAGGGGGTCTGGAGGGAGGCGACGGGGCTGTCCCTGTGTCTACCATCGCCTCGGTCCTTAGCTCGCCTCGCCGCCAGCATCACAGCACAGCCGTGCTCGCGGTAGCCCGCAGCCCTGACGAGGACTCCTTCCTGCGGGCCCACAGCTCGGTGCTGAAGAGGCTGCGCCAGGCCTGCCGGTGCGTCCCCTGGAACCCCTTCTCCATCGGCTGCTGGACGGGTGAGTCTTGCTGCCCGTCCTGGTACATGGCTTCCACAGGCTGGGGGTCACAGCGCCCGCTGGTCCAGCTCCAGTGCAGCCAGGCTGCAGAGGCCAAAGCTGCATCGTCCTGGGGCAGGAGAGGAGGTCGTGGGGTGAGAGCATTCGCAGACGTGTCGGCACGTGCTGAGGCATTGCAGAGCTGTGATGGCCTTGGCGGGGTTGCATGCCCCAGGCTGATGCCAGCTTCAGGTCACCAAGGCGTACCCACGTCCTTCCACATCACGGCTAGTCTGAGCCCGTGTCAAATCGCTGAGCACCTCGCAAGCACTCGCTGTGCTCTGCCAGTCCCCTGCAAGGCTGTTACAGGAAACAAAGTAGGGGCTAGGTGACATTCCCGGGGTCATGCAGAAGGGCAGTGGCAGAAACTGAGCCCAGAGGCCTGGACTCCTATATCTTAACTATGACACTGTCCTTCCTGGTATGACATGAGACAGCTTGGGCCTGGTGAATGCAGATGCATTGACCTGAATGGAGTTGGTGCCACTTAGCTGAGCCTGGTCCCCTGGGGGGAGATGTACAATGCCTCCGTGGCACAGCCTGGCACTGCACGGGTCCACAGAGGGGCAGGGGAAAGCAGTCAAGTCCTGCTCAGGGGGAAGAGTTCGCAGCCCTGCTCTTTGTAAGGGAGCTAAGTAGTCCTTAGACAATCGACCAGAGTCCGGCTGGACTGGAAAGTGGCTCGGGAAAGCAGGTCTGCATCCTGCTGCATCCACTTGTCCTTGGGGCTCCACCAGCAAAGGCCGCAGGCGCCCTTGAGGGCAGTGGAAGGAGACGGGAGCAAAAAGGGGAAAAGAGGAGAGAAATCACGATAAGGTAGACGGAGCAGTGACCCTTTGTGGGGGAAAGTCCTTCGGGTTCATCTGTTTGCCTGCCAAGAAGCGGTGAAGAAAAGCAGGCCCCTTGGGAGGACCCATTGGTTGTAGAAACCCCTTGAAACCGTCCCTTATCCTCCCGATGGATTTATATTGTGCCAGGAGGTCGGTCATGGAGCCAAGCCCAGGGGTGCTGAGCAAACCCAGAACAGATATTTGTGGGCCGAGGCGGCGAGGGCACTACCGCACGTTCTTTGCGGGAGTCACGACCATCGTGGCCAGCTGCCTTTTATTGATCGCTTCTCCCACAGACACCGGAGCCACGGCTCCAAGTCAGGGTTGAATTGAAAGCTGCGCGCTGGAGACATGAGTCGGGCACGAGAAATAGGTGCAGAGGAACCAGCTTCTGGGTCCAGACCCCCTTTGAAGTGCACCTGGCATAGCGCCTCCGCAGGCAGTGGTGCCAGAGGGCTAACAATGCTGGCGTGTCCGTTTGGAGCCAGTGCTGTGTCTGGCTGACGGTCACGTGGGACGGGGGTACGCGGAGTTGTGTGAAGGGGCCACGAGACAGGAACACATGACTCTGAAGTGAAGCAAGTCTCACACCCTTTACCAAGGGGAAACTGAGGCACAAACGGTCAGCTGAGGCTGGGTCGCGCAGGGAGTTGGTGAGGGAAGGATAAGGCCTTCCAAGATGTCCCAAGGACAGCAAGCCCTTTGTACAGTCCACCCCCACACCTTAATGCATAGCTCTTGGCACTGGAGAACCAAACTCAGCTGGGCCGGGCACACGAATCCTTTCCCCACTGGAGACAGGTTGGTGCCCTGTGGCCCTTCTCAGCCAGGTTAAATGCTTGGCTCTTCTGGGCGGGAGGAGTAGGGGCTGAACAGCTAACGCTGGTGCTGAGATGACTCTCCTCCCCCAGACTCTCGCAGCGTCGCGGAGCCGGGATCTCACAGCCACTCCCTGACCGTCTGCGCCAACCATGGCAGCTCGGCCGATTTCCTGCAGCAGGTAGTGGAGAGAGCCCGGGTCATGTATCGGGCCGGCGCCTACCTCCACTGGTACTGGCGCCACGGCTGTGAGGAGGAGGATTTCCGGCAGGCCTTTGACACGCTTCATTCTGTGATGGATGACTACGGACACCTGGGGGAGTAACGCAGGGGCGCCTTCCCCAAGGAAGGGCTGGGCAGGGCGATCTCTCGTTAAAGGGCTGTGGTTCAGGGTGACCCGGCCGGGAACCAGTACTGTGGCAAGTGGCACTGATGCCAGAATGAGCTTCTTGGCTAGTGTGGCAAACAGCCCTGAGCTCCTCTGGCCCATGGACCTGGCAGGGGAACAGATGCCCCATGCCAGTGACACAGGCCCGGGGCAAATGCTGAGCAGAGGGGTGGCAAGGGCCAGCATGGTGGAGTCAGCAGAGCTGGGGAAATCATTTTCTGTAGCGTGTTCTACCCCGTGGACCCAAAGGAGCAGACAAGGGACATCTTCAGCCATCCTGGGCTGACCACAAGCCAGAGCTACGACCTCCCAGGACGCAAGCCAAGGCCCAAAGGCTCCTGCTTGTGTCAGGCTGGGGTGCACAGCTCTGGGAGCACTTCCCTGTTTGCCTGATAGGCAGGAGGGGGCATCCCTGGGACTCCTCATGGCAGGACAGTGGGGCAGACTCTGGCCCCTAATTCAGCATCCGGGGAGGGACCTGAGCATAAGTAAGGCTCTGACGGCTTGTCTGGCCGCATATCTCACTCCCGATCAGTCCTGTCCTGAGACCCAGGATGGCTTGGATGGGGGACGGGGCTTCCTGCATCCACCAAAAGCCTGGGGCAAAGCCTGGCCTGCCCTGGGGCACAGTGAGGGGTGTCGCTGGGAGGGCTCCTCCTGCAAGGCCCCCAGCGGACAGCAGCTTCCCCTGCGAGCTCTCAGAGCTGCCCCAGGGAGTACCAGGCACGCTGGCTGCAGCACACGCCAGGGCAGAAGCTGGCTCGCTTCCTTCTGCTGGCCGCAGTCCCCTGTGGGCGCCATGCGATTGCATCTCTCCCCTCTGCTCTCCAGATGGGCTCCCACGAACACAAAGTGCCTGGCAGGACAGCTGGCAGAGGAGCTCTGCCGAGTGCGTTGAGCCTCCTCCAGGCAGGGTGCCCAGGGGAAGGGGCTGAGGGTCCTTCCTTGTGGGTCCCTGGGGCTCCCGCAGTTCTGGGCTGCTCCAGGGGCTGGCGCAGGCCCTGGGGGAGCTCAGACACTTGCAGCAGTGCCCGGGCTGCGCCCTCAGGGTGCTGCAGGCGGTCTCTGTTGCCTCTCTCCTCTGCCCCCAACATGCCCCCTGAGCTGCAGCTTCCAAGGGGTTGGAGGCAGGCCTGCCCAGGGGATCTGTTCCCTGGCAGGGTCCTTGTGCTGCCCCAGCCCCATTACCTATGTGAAGGGGTCAGATCTATTAGACTTGCCCGTAGAAAGCTCTTACAACTTGGGCTCCTCCAGAGAAGCCCAGCCAGCCAGGGGAGCTCGCAGCTGACAACCTTGCTCTTTCCAAGGCTAAAACAAGCATGAAAAGAGGAATCCTTCCCAGTCTCTTCATCCCTCACGGAGAAGCAGAGGGGGAAGCTCGATCTTTCCTCCACAGCTCCCGCCTGCGCTCCTGCCAGGTGCTGCCTTTTCCAGGAGCACGCGGGGAAACAGGCCCGCTGTTGTTTCAGGTCGCTAACCTGCATTTCATCGTGCTGCACAGTGACGGCCTGGGATGCCGACCGCCTTCATTCTCACTGGACCAAAGCTCTTTTTCATTACCGCGGCTTTATTTCTTGATCTACTCTAAAAATAAAGGTGGGAGCTGTCTGAGGTCGTTCAGTTTAGTTCCCTCGCGTGGGCCGGCGTGCAGAGGGCTCCGCTCTGACTCTTTCTCCGTCACACGGTGTGCAGAAGCGATGAGGATTTGTTCTTCACGGCGGCTGGGAGGAGTCCGGGTTTCTTCTGCATTTGCTGGAGCGAGGTCACGGTTCTGAGGTAACTGTGCTGATGAAGGAAGACGAGATCTAGTTATTCCCTGGGCTTCTGCCCCCGTCTGGTGTTTAGGAGGCGGATGGGGGCATGGCACAGAGACCCTTTGAGTTCCACCTTCAGCTGCTCTCTGGGTTGAGCGTGGCCCTTCCCGAGAGCCGAGGAGCTGCCCCACCGCATGACACCAGTAGCCCATCAAGTCCGGTATCCCCCCTCCAACACGTGCCAGCTACAGGGAGCCCTGAGATGCCCCCGTGGCAGTGGCCCATCCTCTACAGACCAAGCCACTGAGGTAACTTGGGGATGGGTAAGCCACTGCCACCTGGCTCTGGCCTGCAAAGGTCTGATCTGGGCCATGGGGGCCAAAATGGAAACCCCCTTGTCAGGCTCATGTCCCCGTCCCCACCACTGCTGCGAGGGGAAGGTGTCAAGGTAGTTAGGAGGGTAATGCAGCCTCCTCACTGCCACGTTTACCATTGCCGATGGCTGCTGGCAACTACAGTCGGTGCCAGTTAATGGTGGGGAGAGGGGGCAGCAATGGAGTCTGGGGGGGGGGCCGCTGGCCCTGCTGACACCCCCACACCAGCAGCATCTCCCGCAGAGGGGCCGGGGGATGAGGCTGATGAGGCTTCCCTGTTTTCCGTCTCTGTTGGCGGTGCGCTGGGGCAGGGTGTTCCAGCGGCCGGGTGGGAAGAGGCTGCCCACCGCTGGTAAAAGGCTCCCAACCCCCGGCGTAAGTCAGGGTAGCGCTCTCCGTGCAATGCCAGCGGGGGATCCAGCCCGCGGCCTCTGAACTCGGCCTCTGCTGAAGTGACTTGATGCAGAGCTCGGCAGCACAAGCCGCAGAGCGGGGGGGTGATGAAGGGGGCTGCCAACACTTTACACCAGAGGCGGACCAGATCCGGCCCACGGCGCTGTCATCCTGCCCGCTGGGCACCCCACTCATCTGGAAACTTGGCGATGGAGAAGCGGCGGTCCTGTTGGACCCGGCACCTGGTGTCGGGGGCTAGGAGGGGGCAGTGCCGCCCCCTCCCCCAGGACCCAGTCCCAGTGCATGGGGGGCACCACTGCCCTAGACCAGCGGTTCTCAAATTTTTCAGCACTCCTGGATAGACTCGAGCACCTCTTGAAAAATGCCAGCTTAGTTCTCACTCTTTTCTTGACTACAGAAAAACTAGAGCCGTTCTTCCATTGCAAAGAACTCAGCACGACCACAACCATGGATTTCTATTGGAAATCTCTGCACTCCTCTTGTGATAAAGGCACCCCGGGTGAGAATCGCTGCCCTAAACGCACTACATCATTATACCGGTGCCTTTGGAAAGGCTTGCCCAAGCCCCGCTGTCCTGCTGGAGCGGTCCACTCCAGAGGTAAGAGCACGGCAAGGGGCTGCTCTCACAGCACACGCCGACACATCCACTTGGATCTGGGCCCCCGGGCACACTACCTGCTGCTCCATCTTCGATTTGGCACTGTAGAAGGGGACTGAACCCGGGCAGGCCGGCAACACTGCTTTCTGCATCCGGTCAAACCTCTCCTGCTCATCTTCATCCTGGGAAAAAGAGACAGGCAGGACCCAGCCCCATGTAAAACACGGGGAGGACTGGTTGGGAGGTTGCAGGAAACAAAAGGGTTATCAATGAACCTTCACCCTAATGATGCCATGGGCATGGGGCCATATGACGGTTCAGAGAGATCTGGATTGGAAAGGAGAGCCTTCCCCTCTCAGGGGGCTTACGTGTAACGGCAGGTGGCAGAAGACTTGTCAGCCGGCGTAAATGCTGACAACCGTTCTCCCAACTCTGTGGCTTCTCAGAGCCCTGCTCTCTCCAGAAAGCACGCAGGAGGCCTGGGTGTGGACAGGCTCTGACTCAGGCAAGCCCATACATCTAATGGGGTGCCTGGTGACGTGCTAAGATACTAAAAAGGGACAAGGAAGAAGCCAGGACTCCTGAACATGCTCTAGGTTGTCTCTCTCTTTCAGGGACTCCCGAAAGAAAGGCCTCATATATAAGCAAGGGGCAGGAACTTGATGGCCCTGAAATTCAGGGGAGTTTTGCCTTGGACTTCAGTTTTGTGTTGGATTTTCCCCTCATGGGCTCATCTCCTTTGCTGGATACAGAGTCCCAACCGGCATCCTGTCTCTTCCATGATCCTCATAGATGTCTGGCCTGTAGTTTCCTGGTACATTTAAGAACAAGCTTCCTCCATTTCCCCTCACCTTATACTTGTTCCATGTAGCCTTACAGCCATGTAATTCAGTAGGTAGGCAAGAAGTCTATCGTGATACCCCTCAAGACACTTTCAAAAGACACGTTAGAAGGGAACGTAAGAAGTCCCAGCCCTCCACGACCTCTTTTGCTTTTGTCCCTCCCAGGCACCTGGCTCTCTGAGTTAGTTGAAGGCTGCCACGTGGAGCCCAGAGTCCCTGTTTTCTCTCCTGGTGCCTTCCTTTCCTTTTCTATCGTACCATCATCTCCTCCCTGGTAAGGTGAAGGGTGCCCAGGAGCAGGTCTGCCTCATTATCCTGTTGGCTGTAGGAAGCCAGGCCCCAGATATAAATCCAACAACCCCAACCCCTTTCTCATCTCTGGCTGCCTCCCAATCTTGTCACCCGCATCATCCGACCTCTCCGGCAGTGCCTCGACTGTGGTTTCTTTGCCCTCTGCTTTTATCCTGCTCTCTGACACTTGCCAATGCCTTCTGGCTCCTGACTGCAGTTCCTGACCTTGTCTCCAGCTACCTGACCCTGGGTCTTGGCTCCTGGGTTCTTGTCTTACACCTCCTGACTTTGGTGCCTGATCAGGGCCCTAACCCCCCTGTGAGGCAGCTCACACCCCAATTTCCAACAGCTTGAGCAGCCAAAGTCCTTCTCAAAGCGCCAGGCTTATCTCCTGAGGCTGGCTTCCTGCAGCTAGGAGGGGAATGAGGCACAAATGCATCAGTCAGGTGGCTCTTGTCTAGCCATGACCCGGGTGCAAGCCCTTAACCCGAACGCTCCCAAGTTTCCACCTACCTTCACTTTGCAACATATGAAAGATGCAGGTCAAACCAGGCTGTAAACCCAGACTTGGGCCTAGCTGAGTGCAGCACCAAACTGAGTACCCTGGGATGCATCAGCAACCTACATCTGCAGAGCTGGGGCTTTGGTGGTGTTCAGCAGTGCGGGGTCTTGGCTGCATTCAGTGGCAGTGAGGTCTTTGAATGCTTGACCCTGAGCTTTCCAGTCAAATGAAACCATGGTCCAGTCAGGGCAAAGGAATTCCTTTTCAGTTATAATTCCCAAATGTCCTTGCTCAGGTCTGCAAGGGCTGAGCAGCATGCATAATACAGGCAAGGTGGTAATGTCTCCCTCCTCAGTACTGAGTGGGTCTGGGCTGTCACTCTGCACTGCAGAGATGGCTCCACGCCAGTGGCAATGTATGTGGAAGTGTCTGCGCGCCTTTGGTATGGAAGGCACCACGTCTGTGGCAAACAGCTCTGGGTCTGAATCCCATGTTTAAATATAACCCAAACCCTGGACAGGGTTCAGAGGAGAGCGACGCGCAGGAGGAAGAGCCTGGGGAATATGAATGTTAAGAGAACTGTCCATGCTCAGGAAGGACAAAGGGTCACTGATTCCCACAGGAATCCTGTCTCTACAGATGTCTGGCGCAGCGCCGAGAGCTGCTCTCAGTGCCGGCAGGACAATGGCGTTGTAAACACTACAGATCGCAGAGGCTGGGAACAAGTCTCCCAGCTACTCCCTGCACCTCCTACCTGCCTTGGTTATTGATAGCAAGCAGATCACCAACTGCTTGAAGGAATCGATTTCCTATCATTCACTTAGATCATACACCAAAGTGAGACATGCCTGCTGACAGCAGCTCTCCTGCTTCTCTCCCTACAGATTACAGCACCGCTTAGAAAAAGAGTCCAAACTATAACTAACCCCCATATTGCCTCGGGAGGACTCCCAGTCTTCTTACTGGCAACGCAACACCCATGAGCACGCAGAGAAGGAAGACGTGCGTGGCAAAACTCACCAGACACATGACTCTGTTAATGGGGATCATACCAGGTCGGATGTTGCCACCGGGTTTTATCACTTCTTGCACATCCTCAGGAATAAGGAAGGATTCATTGTACCAGATTTCAAACTCTGAAAGGCAAAAGGAGAGGACAAGAAACAGGGCTGCGATGGGGAAGGAGACTAGGGCTGTATTTCTCCCGGCTTCCTGCCACGTGGACTGCAGTACTTTAA